CACAAAGGACATAATGACTAGTTTTCCTTGGAAATAAGTAAATCCTTCTCTCATAGAAGTTCCAGAAATACATGAAACTTGTGAAAGAATTTTAAAATGGCAGAAACCACCTGCAGGGCTTTGCCTCTCTGCATATAGCTGCTAATTTTCAAGGGATCTAATACAGTTTTGTTCCGTTTACACAAATTTGATAAAATTGTGGTTCAATGAGAGCTGCCTGGCAGTGCTCTGGGATAGTCACTGCAACCAAGGGTGTTATGCAAGGTGTAACACATAAGCAGTAACCCATGAGCATGCTAGAACTCCTCAGCAGCAGTTGAGCATGCTGAGGCAGGACATGCATTGTGCCCTGACTAATTACATCATCAGTGTGTATTGTTCAATAATTATGATAGGGATTCAATGAATTCTGATAGGGATTTCTATTTTAAGTGATCTCTTCACTGGTGTTTTGTTCTTCCATTAAAAAAAAAAAATTGTTTCACCCAAAGCATTGTGGACAGCAGGTTGAGGGAATTGCTTCTGCCCCTCTACTGCACTCTGGTGAGACCCCTGTGTGTGGAGTGCTGTGTCCAGCTGTGGGGTCCCCAGCACAGGAAGGACATGGACCTGTTGGAGCAGGTCCAGAGAAGAACCCTGAAGATTATTAGAGAAATAGAGCACCCATTGTGAAAACAGAAACACAGACCGAGAGTGTCGGGGCTGTACAGCCTGGGGAAGAGACCTTTCAATATTTACAGGAGGCTTAGAAGAATGATGGGGACCAACTTTTTAGTAGAGTTGCAATGGTTTAAATTAAAAGAGGTAAATTCAGACTAGATATAAGGAAGAAATTTTTCACAATGAGGGTGGTGGAATACTGGAACAGGTTGCCCAGAGAGGTGGTAGATGCCCCATCCCTGGAAACATTCAAGGTCAGTGTGGATGGGCTCTGAGCAACTTGATATAATGGAAGATGTCCCTGCTCATGTTGGACTGGGTGACCTTCAAATGTCTTTTTCAACCCAGACTGTTTGTGTGCCTGTGATTCTATGGTTCCATTGTATGTACATTTCATGTGTGTGTGTGATTGTCTCAGGAAGGCTAAAAGAGGAGAAAGTGTGGAACACATTATGAAAGCCTTCATACCGTGTTGTTTATTGAGAGTGTCAGGGACCAACCTGTTCCTTGCACATTTTTTTGAGCCTTGCTAGAATAAGCATAGGGACCATATAGGATGTAGGAACTGGCAGATTAATTATTGAGAAAATTACCAGGAAGAGAAGGAGGGTTTTTTTTTTTGGGTTTCTTTTTTTTTTTTTTTTTTCACTCATAGAACTCAAGATTGGATAATGCTTTTTAAGATCTATGTTAGCCAAGCATAAACTACTAGACCTAATAGAGGGAAGTAGCTGGGTGAGATATTTGGACTGTGGTTCAGTTAATGATAGGATATTCATCCAGCATGTTGGCCTTTTCTGGGGTTGGAAAAGAAAGCTAATTGTGCAGGCACTGTCTCATAAATCCTTAACCACTGGTTTAGAAAAGAGACAAGGAACTTCAGAATGCATAATGTCCCTGGTGGAAATAAAAATGCCACAGTTGGTGAAGACCAAAATGCAAGTTTCATGTAGCCGCAAAAGAAATTTCATCCCAAGTTAGTGCCTGTTAGATTCTTAATTTCTGGGCAAAAATTTAGATGTTTCCATTATCATGAAAGTGCCTGATGCCATCTCAACAAATGACATTGTTCTCAAAAGCTCTGAAAACATTTACTGCAAAGCAGTAAAGAAAAGCAGTTCCAAGTTATCTTGTTCAATGCTATGTAGGAGGAAGACACTTCTGTTCGGAGCAGGATTCCCTACATATTGTCAATTAGGAGCAACTCCTGCTTAGACAAACCCCCAAGAAAACTATTCTGGCATGCATGCTTGCAAATACAGCCTTTATTTATTGTAAGCATGAGTAAGGGCCATGGATATAGTTTTGTAAATATTAAAGACTTGCATATGCCTGTTGAGCTTCACAGGCAATTGCTCAGGTGCTCTGGATCTCGCTCACAATGTTTTCCTCAGGTAGGGCAGACTGTGGCCTCACATGCAAAATCTGTCAGGTGATCTTGAATAATATATGGAGTTATAGTTGGGTGAGGTAGTGGTACATACAAAATTGTTTTCTGGTGTTAAGCTACTAAGTTGCAGAAAGTGGGTCAGTATTTCAAAGGCTTGGTGAATTAAGGTGTCCCCCTATCACCCCTTGTTGTTTGCCTATCTTCTCCCCCTTCCCCTCTCAAACTGGCCAGGATTTGTCAGTCAGCCAATTCTCTTGAACAGCTCTTGAGAAAAACTCCTTCTAGTGAGGAAAATGTGTTTGATGCTAAGTTAGGTGTTTTCCAGTCATCATGCAGACTAGCTGATATAGAGTGATTAACATTACTTAAAGGGAAAACATCAAGGACTTTGGCTGAGAAGCCTACTTCTCAATGCCAAGGGATAAAGAATTTACCACTTCACTTGAGTATTGGTTCCAGCATATAATTGTATTCATTGGTACATTTTATTCCTTTTTATTCCATTTGACTTGTCCTCCAATAAATACTTCTGAGCACAGACACATTTTTTTAATTCCTGCCTGAACCTTTGATAAGCACACTGCAATATAGACTCAATAACTTTACCTGAGGCTTCTATATTGTAATTTAAGCTATGTACAGTGTCAATTTATTGATCTACTTCTCCTTCATAGAGTTTGATTTTTAGCAGATTTGTAGAGTTGGGGGAGCATTGACAAAGAGAACAGCATACGCCACCAAAGAGAAAATCTGAATTTCTTTTGTGTTTGTTATTCCAAATAAATAAGCCTGGACATAATTCAGTATTGACATAATTGGCATATACTGCAGAAGAAATTCACACATTCATGTGGAAATTCAGGTTTGTTAAGGATTATGTGGTCATGTTTTCTTTCACTTAATGATTTTGTATCCTCTCAGCAAATTTGGATCCACTTTAAGTGGAAATAATGCAGATCATGAAATACCTATGATTTTTATAGATATAGACAAAAAAGTATACAACGAGACCCTTTTTCTGAGTGAGCCAAAATATTGTAGTGGGAACGTGTGTCTTTTGACATGACAGAGGAATTGAAATACTTATAAGCCCATCAACTGCAGGAAAGCCTGAAGTTGGAATTTAAGAAATTAAATGCTCATTTCTGGGGCTCTTGACTACTGGCTTGTTTGTGAAGTGTCAGACCAGTCCTGGTATCCTCCTATGCTACATGTGGACAAAGAATTTTGTAGAAGGGGTTTTTCCTCTTGTGTCAGATGAACTCCATCCATTTAGACTTACACAGCTGACTGTGTTGGATTGAGCTGTCTGCCTTTGTATGATACACTCTTTTTCTAGTTTTGTTCTTGCAGGTTATTGTGTGACATGAGACCAGATGAACATTAACAGAACCTGGAATGTATTTTAATTGTAAAGCTCCATCAGACATACTGATAATTGCATGTTTTATAATTAAAACTGTGAATGCTTTTCTTTCTAAGCATAGCGACAGCTGTTAGAGCACATCTGGAAAATATGCTTTAAGCAAAATTATTTTAGCACAGAGAATTTCACAATCTGTGGGATATTTATCAGCATTTCTTTCCAGAATACTAATCTGATTTATCAGTATTTTTAATATAAAAGTCTTTCTTTTTTTTTAAATTATGTTTACAATCTGGATTTGAATTCACATTGTAGATTGGCAATTCCAGTGTACTTCAAGGCTAAATGCTGCAGAACAAAGCATTGCTTTGCTACTATTTTTAGGTAGAAGCCTATATAAGTCTTGTCTGATGCCCTCATAAATTTTCTTCATTGATTTCAGCCAAATATTTTCCCTTTTTATGATTTTAAAGAGAAATTATTTTTTATAGTGGAATTTCATTGAGAAGAAAATTTCTCATACTCCTACTCTGTGCTTCTTGAGGCTCATGTCAACACCCTTCTGTGCTATTACCCTTGTACTGCCTACAATTATTATAGCATTACTCAGGACTCTTTGCAGTCAGTGCGAGTGTCTACAGGATAGGACCCTGGCCACTTGGAAATGAACAACAATGTTTCTGTTTTTGATATGAGCCCAAGCATTGTCATTTCTGCACTTTCCTCAGAACTGCCATATAGACATTACAAAACCAATTTTTTCTGATATGATTCATTAAAATGGAACAAGAAAGCATAAAACTTAAAACAACTTTAAAAGTTCTATCTGCTAATTTATTGTTAACGTTTCTTTTTTTTTTTTTTATTTGGAAAAAATTGACTAAACGTAAATATGTAGAACCTTAAAACCTCAAGTTATTACTTTAATCAGGATCTTGCATTCTGACCCAAGCATCTCAACCAACTTGCTTTCAGGATGATGAGGGAGATTTTGCAGAGAGTGTTTGACAACAGATGCCTAAGCAAGAAATCAGTTTCCTTTATTTGGAATAGGAGGAAACTTTTTAATAATAGATTACACTGTGTTGGAGCAGTTTCACACCTGAATTTTAAATCATAAGTGTTGTCCTTGTTGTGCAGTTGGAGGCAAAATGCAGTTACGCAACCAAGTGAGAAGATACAGCTGCAAAAACTAATGAGATTAAAAGAAAAATCTACAGCAACGATACTAAAAAATAATATGGAGCACATTAGTGGCAATGTGGGAAAATTAATTCCAAATTATTGACAGTTTAATTGACCTACGGGAAGTATTTTAATGGACTTAATAAGCTGTGCTGTTCTTCAGTTTTTTAATCTTTTCCACTGAGCAGAAAACAAGTTTTTCTAATTATGGGGTTTAAAATTGTAACAAATGGTTGCCGTGGGTTCCCTGGCTGTGAGATACCAGCACTGGATGTGCGACTTTTCTGCCCAACACCTGCAAAGCCCATCCTGTGAGCAGGGCGTAGGTGCCACTGCCCCTAACCTTGCTGTCACAGAGGCTCTTTGCAAATAATCCTTACTCGGTGATTTGACCCCCAGGCTCCGACTGCATGAAGAAAAGGTCATTAAGGATCGGCGACACCACCTCAAAACGTACCCGAACTGCTTCGTGGCCAAAGAGCTGATTGACTGGCTGATCGACCACAAAGAGGCCTCCGACAGGGAGACAGCCATTAAACTGGTGCAGAAATTATTGGATCACAGCATCATCCACCATGGTAAGTGCAGTATCATCTGCTAAAAACTTCTAAGATAAATTTACTGACTGCTGTGAGACAAAGGGAAATCCCACTCCTGTTCTTCAGCCAAGTGTAGGACAGGTAGGATTCTTTCTCTGCCAGATATGGAGCATCTCTTGAACTGTGCTGCTATGCAAGGTCACCTGTATCCTGAAGGAGATGAGAGCTTGAACAGGTGTGGAGTGATGTTCCCCATGACAGGGGGAAACTTACTGGAGAGTGTGATGCTACTTTCCTGTCTCCAAAGCAGCCTCAGCTGGATCGTGTTCCCCCTCTCCCTGCAGCCCTCATTTCCCTGCTCCTAAGAGCACAGTTCTCCATCTGAAAAACCCATCTGAAAAATCAGCCAGGAAAAAAAAAAAATAATTTTTCTCACGTGGATTAATTCCCTGGCCCTGGCCCTCACAGCAGCTGCACAAACATTAGTGCTGGTACAGCTGCAAGAAAGTTAGTGGTCTGGCTGTGCCCTGATTAATTTTCTCCTAAACTTGTTGTCTATTTGAGATCTGTTCCTTTCAGCTTCTTGAATAACAATTCATGCTGATGAAAAGACTTCCAATTCACTGGTAGCATTTAGTTGCCTTTTGGGACACAAAGAAGATCCAAGGCCTCAATTTCAAGCCTTTAGTATTACCCATTTCAGAATGGTAAATGTACCCTTTGTTTCTTTTTAAAGAGAAAACTGAGTGATTATGAACAGACGAATGTTGACTTTATGCAGAGGTCATTGTATGTGCAGCAATGCTGCTGCTGTCTGCAGTACATTAACAACACCTTAATTAAAGTCAGAAATGCACATACTGAGTGAGTGCCACTTCTACAGCTTCTGCTTAGCTATTAAATGAAAATTCTGGGTTGTTATGGAAACTGGGACTCACGGTAGATAGTTAAAGAATAAAGTAATTATAGGGTATTCAAATCTGTCTACTTAATCCTCTATTGAGAAAATGTCAGTGAAGAGTTGCGTGCATGCCTGAGTGACTTAATTTAATTGAGCAATAGATATTTTATTGCTGAATGCTTGTTGAAAGCTCTAACAGCCTTCAAGCCTTTTCTACCCTACCATCCAATTGAAAACTGTAGAAGAAATTTTATATATGTGTGTGAAGATATTAGAAATGGAACAGGTGTTTCTTGAAAATGTTCATGTATTGCACTCTAATAAAATACTTCGTGAAGTGAGCTTGGGCAGGTGGGTTCAGAGAGGTTCTATCAGGTTCTGCAGGATGCTTAGAACATTCAAGTGCCGTGTCAAGTAAAAGGGACACCAGGTGCTGCTTCTGTGGTGCAGAAGGTCCCCATGTATGTGGGTTGACAGCTGTGTTAGGAGCACCTTGCTTGGGATAGCTTTCCCATCAGTTTATGCCCTTGATGGGGTTCTGTTCTGCATTTACAAGAGCCCATCATCAGCTGCTGTTTTGCAAATCTGATCTGGCATTTCTTGGTGTGCTCATGTTGTACCTACCATTTACTAGCTGGTATGGCAGAGCAATTGTGACAGTTTCAAGAAGGCAGAATGCTTTGGTTTTAACTGTGTCTTTAGGAACTCTCAGGTTTCCTACAGCACTGCTAATCGGTATGAATAACTTTAAGAAGTTTGGCAAACCTTAAATTATTGGGCATTCTACTCTGGCGGCCTTTTAAACAAACAAGACAACAGACTGTTTTCATCAAAAGGTTTTCTGGGTATGTGGTGGATGGATGCTTTTTTATTCTTTATGTTTGCAGTAATACTTACAAAACTGATGGGCACTTCTTCCTCTCACCAAGAAATTTGGTTACCTTTCAATGTTTTCTCCAGCCTTTCATTAGAATGGAGTAAAACTGTGTGCTGAGAAATACAGGGGGTTAGACTCTATACATGCTTGCTTTGAAGCTCAGCAGTGGTACCTGCTACTTAACATGTGTGTGTATTTTTTAAATTTGTTTAATTATTTTATGTTTCAGTCTGTGATGAGCATAAAGAATTCAAGGATGTCAAACTGTTCTACCGCTTCAGAAAAGATGACGGGACGTTTCCACTGGACAATGAGGTGAAGGTGTTCATGAGAGGACAAAGACTGTATGAAAAGTATGTTGCATTCAGTATTTGTAATATATTGACAACAGCGCCACATGAGGCAAATAATACTTGTTAATCTATTTTTGAATCGTCAGAGGCTTTCAATTCATGCAGGAATGGATCTGGGCAATTCCATCACTTCAGGTGGGAGTCCTTCCCTCTCCTATTTTTCTTTTGCTTTTCTACCATATTCACTTGAGGCATTTTGCTTAAAATCTGATGCCCCAGATTGTACATACATCCTATATGAGAATTCAATGTGAATTGAAGCCCTTGAAATCTATTCTGTAAAAATAATTACAGAATTATTTGTCAAAATAATTCAAATAATTACAGAATTATTTTATATGTAAAAGCATAATCATAATTCCTAGAACATTATTGAACAAGCAGCCACATGTCTGTGGAAACTCCAGATCTACAGCTTCACAGGGAGGCATGATTTTAAATCATCAGTGATATGAATCTCCAGTGTTCCAGCCTGCAAAGTTTCAACATCAGAAAAGTTATGTTAAATGCAATTTCAAAAAAACCCACCAAACCAACCAAGAACATCTGATTATCTAATTTAAACAGATTATTATACTAAGATACTAAATATCCCACTGGATTACTTCCATCAAGTAACTAGGTATCTTAACAATACTTCCTAATATTAAATTAAAGACTTTTTTATTCAGAAATTGGAGATTTTGACATAGTACTTTTAAGCAGAGAGAAGAAAATGCATGTTGGCATATGCTACAAATTAATGCAAAAGTTGTGGTGTGTTGTTTACCAAGAAGCTTGAAGTATTGCTCTAGACTGAATACCACCCACTCTCCTGCTTGTTTGAGCAGAAGCGTGCAGCAGTCAGGAGAGATGATGTGTTTTCTTGATAAAGGAAATTTGTTTCCTTCTGAGAAGAAAGCACTCAAGAAACTCACAAGTTTAAAAGCTGCTAATAAATATTATTTTCAAGGTTAGCTGGCTCTGAAGAACAGTTTGGTGAAAGAGCAGTGAACCCAAAATATAAACAAATACTTGTAATGCCACTCCTTTTGTTACACCCAGCATATCAAATTCCCCAAGACATGGTGGCTGTGACTATTTAAAGTAAAAATATAATAAATTGTATAAGACATAAGAAAATGCATCACTGGAGAAAATCCTCCATTCTATGCACTGGGACAGGTGAAATGAATCAGCTACCTTCAAACTCTTCTGTGCCTTACTAAGCACAGCATTTTCTCTTTAGACTTAGCAAACATGCAGTCTACAAGCCTGACCCATACTCTGAAAAGCAGATTAGAGTGTCTACGGTGCTTTTTTAAGTCTATATTTATATTTCAATTATCCATAAGAAAAATAATTTTTGTTGGCAAGGCTGATGTCAGTCTTCTGCATGAAAGGAGCCGTAGTAGAAAGAACTCTGTTCTAATAGTGTCTGCTTCCATCACCATTTCTCTGAATGGAAAACTATCCCCAAACCATTGTCTGTGATCCACTTTGTCTAACTCTGTAGTAGTAGAAAAACATTCATAACTGTAGAGAGTGTTCCTGTCTTGGCAAAGGAGTTAATGCCAAAAGCAGCCTGTATCTGAATATAACTGCATCCTTGAGAGGTGCTTGCTCCTAGGCAACATATTTGAAGGGTTCAGAAACTTTTAAAAACAGCCCTGAGTGCTAAATATAGTATAAATTAAAAATACCTGTCATTTCAAAACCAGTATATGACAGTCAAAGGTAGTCAAAATTCTCCATGGATCATCAGAAGTATTTTATATTTTTGGGAGATAAGAAGGCATAACTGGGCTTCACTTTGTATATTTTAGCAAACATCCTGTGCAGAGATTTTAGACTTTGTTAGTTTACTTGCCTATTCACCTCTATTAGCAACATCTTCAGAATTTCTTTGGATAACCTTTAAACTCAAAATCTAATGCTGAAAGTCAGGAGGAGCTCTGCAGTGAAATATGTGATTATGAAATATATCTGTTGTATCAGTTTGCTAATAGTCTTGAGAAAGAAAATATTAATTCAGTGCTGTTAAAAATAATTACTAAATGGCAGCAACCAGAGAAAAGTATTCCTGCACAAACATTAAGTAATTTACCAGCATATTCAACTTGTTTATCAAAATGCCTATAGGCCTGGTTGCAACAGAAATGCAGCCATGCCAAAGGAAATCTATCCAAATCCAACATGCTTTGAAAATCTGTCTATAATTTTGTAGAGTTTGCTGATTTTTACTAGACTTTGCTAATTTAAGATAGACATTATAATTCTTTCTTACTCTTTTCCACTCTCTGATTGGGGCTGGAGTACCACTGGGCTTAGAAGCCAAGGTAGTTTGTGCTTGCCAAATTTGCAGACATTACCCAACACCAGTCCATGCAGATTTGTACCCTCACTGGGTAAAATTAACAAAATGCTTTAGGAGCATCAACAGGTTGCATGGGTGTCTTAGGCAGGTTCCTTATATTCAGACAGCTGTTTTGGGTAAATGCCTTGTTCTCTGCCCTGGGACATGGGAATATCAGGGCTGTCCCTCTGCTGAGGAGCTCCCTTTCCCATCTCTCTTCTGCATGACCACGAAGCTCCTCGTAATCTGGACTCTCCTTTCTTGTGTATTACCCCCTTCACCCACTATGGACATCTTTGGTGGCTGTACCTGTGGGATTAGAAGATTTAAAATCAGTCTCTGGTTGTATTCTCCCTTCATTTGCACTGAAAATCATGAATCAGTTCAGATTCCCAGCACATTGTTGGAAACTTTGGTAATCCTATCTGTGAACATGCTTTGAGGTTCAGGTTTATAACTAGAGATGAAAACTACTGGATTTCCTACAGTCTTGTCTGAAATTGTTGAATAGTTTATAAGATCTAAGGTTGGTATCAGCTTTTAAGCTCTATAGGACTGCCCACATACTTTGAATGAGATAAACATGTTTCCTGTTCAACAAAAATCTCCCTGTAAATCTTTTATAAATCCATCACAGACCTTTTGTAGCTTAAAAAAAAAAAAATCAAATTGTTGCAGGCACCTTATTTTTATGATGTTTGCTATTCTCAGTAGGGTTTGGTCAGACACACAAGATTGTTGTTTCTGGTGCAGTCATGCATAGGAGCTATAAGTCATTTCATGATGCTGACATCAACTGAGATTTTTGAACCAGATTTCACAGTGAAAGAAGTGCAGATTTATGGTTTTAATTTCAGGAAATCTTTCAGATAATTTTGAGACTGCATTCTTGGAATCACTTTCTGTTTAACTCATCAGTGGTTGAGTTGCTTTTATCCTCTGGTGCAGTTATTTTGATAAAAAGAAGGTTAAAGATTTCTTTTGAAAAGCAGTTTGAATTTTAGTGTTTGGATAAATACATTCCTTTAATACAGGACAACACCAGTTTTAGTAAATATGTTTTGGCATTAACAGCCTCATGTTGTTTTGGAACAAGGAGAAAATGGAAGAGTAAAAGGAAGTTTCCAGTTCTGCCTAATGAAAGGCCAAGTTTTTGATTGATGTAAATTGGTACAGTTTTGTTGACAGCCATGGAGTTACAGTGATTTACTTCAGTGAGTGACGTAAGTCCATGGATTGCTGTGTCTGGGCTTCTTAAACTGGCAATTTGTCGTGTCTGTTTGTTCACAAGTCCAAATCCTTTGCAGTGCTATTCTGGGCTTATGCAGAAGGGTGTGAAATGTCAAACTGAGTGTTTTTCCACTTGATATTTTTCCAGATTTCTTTTGTGTCTCTATAAAAATCTAACCATTAGCACTGCCTTTTCAAGGACCTTTCTATCAGCGATTTCAATGAGGCGGTCAACTAATTATAGACTCATCAAAGAACAATTAACACAATCTTAAGGATTTTTTATTTGGTGCCTGCAGAGCCTGGGTAACCAGTTCTGGGTAGCCATGTAGCAGATGGTATGAAAAGACACAAGCTTTGGGTTTGCATTTTTTTTCTGGGAGGAAAAAGCCTGGTGAGCGAGAGGCATTTAAAGATAGCCCCTTGGAGCATAGTAGGAGTGTATTAGAGGTGGTGAGTGTGGGACAAAATGTTGTGGGACAAGATGCTTGTAAATTAAAATATTAAAAAAATAATGAAGTCTGCAAAAATTCTGGAGTCAATACATTGTCTTCAGCTAATTTGGCTTTCTCAGTTCTTACTCAGCTCAGAGTTGCTGGCAATGACACACCATCTGAACGAGCAGTTTGTTGTGCTACCACCGACACTCAGCTGTGGCTGAGCAGCCTGGGGCTGGTTTGATGGTCTGCTACCAGGTGGTCAGATCCAGTAGGTTCAGGCTTCAGGTTAGTGCTCATTAAAGTCAAGAGAAGACGTTGGACCATGTCAAACCTCCACTGTAATTTCAAATGAAACTTCTCTCTGTGTTCCTATGGGACAGATTTTTCTGATGCGTCCCAAAGGAGATGAAGTTATATTCCATAATCTCTGGACATGCTGTCAGTTTAAGAAGCAGATGGCTCATTTATGGATTTATTTGAATTTCAGTTCCTTTATCAGAAGGACAAAGATTCAGCACTTCCAGAATAGGGCTACTGTAGTTCAGATGTGCCCTTATTTCCAAATAGTTGGTGAAGGGAGGGGACCTGTTAGTCTTACATGGAAAAACCATTTCTTGAACTATTTCTCTGAAAGTCTTACCACTAGTCCTATTATTAGCCTATAATAAATAATATAGTTATGAAAAAAATAGGTTAATAAGGATGCTATGGTGCTCAGTTTCCTCCGAAAAAGTGGAATTCTGTATTAGAAAGAAATTATTCTCACTTCTTCTTTAAAAGTGCCTTTTGCATCAACAAAATATTGAGTCTTTTTTTTGTATGTTTGTTTTGTTTAAGACTATGTAATTTGCATAGGTATCTTGAATAGAGAAGAGTTTTATTAGTATCCTTCCGCTACTCAGCCAGCAGTTGCTAAGAGATTTTGGGACATCTCATAGTGTTCCTCTGGCAGGTGTTACAGAGAGCCAGCTGAAGCACAGAGAACTGTGAGCCTCAGATGATAAAATGTGTTCAAGTCCTTGTGCAACTTGCTGACTGCAACTGCATCATCAAATGTTGGATGCACAATATTTATCTGCCTCCAAACCACAGAACTACCTTTTTGCCTCTTGAATTTTTCTGCAGCTGTTTTAGAGCTTATGGGAAGAATTTTCAAAGTCATCTAAATGACTTTGGGGCATAGTCCTGCTAACAGTAAATATTAATTAGGAAGCTTTGAACACATTAGTCACATTCTGGTGCTTTTAGGCTAATTTTTTTTCAAAGCTGATTATACAGTATCTTTTAGAGAATGTTAAACACTAAATAGGGGAAATGCAAAACCTAAAAATCTAAAAAAGAAGAAAGCATTTACTTCACACAGGGATATAAAGCCTAAATTTGTTTACTAAGCAGTTTTCATTTACTTCCTAAGTAGATTGATAGCTTGAGGAAAGATTTAGTAAGTCAGTGAACGCTTCATATGCATTTGCTTGATATAAATGAGATTTGCCAGAATAGATCTGGAACTGCTTTTCTGAAGAACCATTTTCCCCACCAATTTTCCCCCCCACCACACCAGGCTGATGAGTTCTGAAAACACCCTTCTGCAAGCCAGGGAAGAGGAAGGAGTCAAGTACGAGCGGACCTTTGTGGCGTCGGAGTTCATGGACTGGCTGGTCCAGGAGGGCGAGGCCGCGACACGGAGCGAAGCGGAGCAGCTCGGCCGCAGGCTCTTGGAGCACGGGATTATACAGCATGGTGAGAAATTACTGCCAAGCAGCAAAAGCTACACTTACTGTAGCACTTCCTTCAGCTCAAATCACGTGGAGGGGCCCTTGTCCTCCTGATCACAGTATGTTTAGGTTCTAAATTATTTCAGACAGGAGTCTAAGTAATTTTATTTAGTAGAAGGGTGGTTTTTTCAAAAGTGAGTTGTATTAGTTCTGAAAATGCTTCCTCAAATGCAGAGTCTGGCTGGAATTTGAAACTTTATAATAACAACTTAAAGATGTGGATTAGAGTCAGTATTCCTACACTTGTAGTAATTAACTTGTAGAACTTGCTATCTGCAATGTGTGTAATTGAGTTAAATAGATTTGTAAGGATCAAATAGGGATTAGAACCATAAATTAGCTAAATTCTGTACGCAAGATAAAAATTTCAGGGTCTATGTATCTCCCTACTTGTAGACAGAACAGAGAATAGTCTGATGCCAGAAAAGTGTATAACAGAGTTGTTCTAGTCTGTTTGGGCAGGAAGGAGGATGTAACTTTTGGTTGAAGTGTTATTGTATTTGTCCTGGTGGTATAACTTTGAGGCAGGAATCAAATATTTCTTCATAGTCCAGTATAATGTGTCTGGCAATTACAGCTTCACCAAGAAGCTCCTTCTGTATAGAGTGGAGGAGACAGAGTTTTCTCACTCTACTGCCCCGAGGGTGAAGAAATTAACACCTCTGGCCCCATTTTACATGTTGTCATTATCTGTTGCTCTTCTGTGACCAGGCATTTCCCACCATAGAAGTGGCAGTGCCTCTGGGAGGAATGAAGAGGTGCCAGGAGATGACCACAGAATGGCAGAAGTTGTTACCTACATTGCTTAGTGCACAATGTGAAAATAATCATATCCTGGTGGTCCAAGTGTTGTTGCATCAAACCTAATTCTGACAGAAAACAAAGAGATTATATCAACAAGCTGTTAGTACACAAGGTGCTAGGTTGACTAGGTTGCTTGTTACTTCACAAGAAAAGCTAGTTTTAATGTATAGAGAAAAACAGGCATGTAAGTGGTCTGCACAGTTCTGCCATGGTTCTAATCATATTCACATTAACTTGCAATTACTAGGAGCTACTTCTGAATGTTTACAGTGATCAGCTTCCACTTCTATAATTACTCCTGTACTTCCTATGATTTATGGAGTGCCAACTGCTCAGAGCTTGATGGACAGGAAAGGTATGCCACCCCTTCTCTTTACAGCAGCAATGATTTAATTCCTATTTTTACCTGAACATTTTCTGTGTATTACATATGTGGTAAGCTATCCTTACTATCCTGGGGTCCTAAACCAGGACACTTACAAAAAAATCTTTTAAAAATATAAGTGAGATTTATGCTGATACAGATGTTTTTGCAGAGCAAATAAAGTCAGGAGTTAACATTTGGTGCAAAGGTGGTTTTCTTAGATACTGAGATCTTTGCAGAGCTAAGAAAGTCAGGATGTGGCTTTTCTTGCAGATCAACCATTGTTTCATTAACTAAGGCAAATGCTCAGCAGGGCACGTTTGCAGGGAAATAATTTTGCTCCTGTCAAGCCAGATTTCAGGGGTCATTCCTGAGTGACACTAGCCCAGTTCTGGGAATTAGTTGATTGCTGAGGAAGTAGTCTTCTCACTTGTCCAGACCAGGTCATTGCTGCAAGGTACTGTCATCTTCCTCACTCAGTTTTTAATAAAACAAACATAACTGAGTGGTGATTTTGCAAGGAGTTGATGTGGATGCTGGGAGTAAAGTAAAACTGAATGGTGTCCTTGATATTTGCCTTCTATGAGTGAACATGCTTTGTGCACATTTTCTCCTTTGTGAAAGGAGATTTCATTCATTTCACTTCAACAATTCGTCTAGATAGTGTCAGGAATATTGATGAAAGTACTGGCAGAATTAACATGGAGCTGATTTGGGGTTCATCTTAGCAGCTGGATATGATCTGTGCACATTGAAGGTTCTTGTAATGCTGGCTTCCTCTGAGAAGGGGGCTCGAAATGACAACTACTGGTATAGAATTAGGGACATAAATTGTAAAACAGCAGGAAAGGTATTCTGTCCCCAACACCCTCCCACCCATCTTAAAGAGTTCTAGATCCGATTAAAAAACAAAAGAAAGCTATTTGTCTGTGTCTTAGTACCATAAATTCATTTCACTATACTGTGCTTCCATTATTTTGTCTCTCATCAGCAATACCAAATTATTACTGGAAACTAATGGGCATCCTTGTTGGCAGAACCAGCAGAAAGACTCTTGACTGAACAGCAGTGGAGACTAAAATATTTCCTGTCCTAAAGGCAATCTTTTTCTAGCAGTATTGTTTGATATCCACAATATGGAATAAAATAAAACTTGCTCTATTATTTTTATGAAGTATTTCTTACCCCACCTAATGTGATGGGAAGTAATAGAAATAGTTGTATCCAGTTGCCAATCTCAGTGGTAATTTTCCAGCCACAACTGAATTATGCAATGTCTTTTTACTAATACTGACTTTCATTTCAATTACTCAGAGAAGCTGTATTCTGCAGCTGAGGCACTGTATTCAAAATGGCTTCCTGACACATTTTTCTTCACTTTTATTGGTCAGACACAAACCAGGTTTCACACAGGAAACAAACACCAATGCTAATTTTAAAAAGGAAAACGGTGGTTTAAGAGGAATTGTATAAATGCTGCAAAAGCATCATATTCTCAGTTTTAAAATAATCTTCCCGATCTCTTTGGACATATGTAACTATACACATTTCCCCTGCCATGCATGAAAATGCTGAAATGTACTTAAGTGCTGAATTTCTTCCTGCCAAAATCTCACTGGCCCGCACAAATCACTGAGATACGTTGCATTGGTTGGAGTGTAGTGCTAATAATGCAGAGTTGTAGGTTTGATCCCCATATGGGCCATTCACTTAAGAGTTGAACTCAATGATTCCTGTGGGTCCATTCCAACTCCGAATATTCTGTGATTCTGTGAAATCATAATCCACAAAACACCATTACCACCATTTTCATAAATAGGACCCAGATTTCCTTTGCTGTGTATTGGTACTCCATGTAATAAGGAATAAAGCCCCCATAAGTAGCAGGGAATGGTGCATTTTGCATTTCTTGAAGGCTGGTGTTGGGATTGTAGTTGTCAGTAGTTACTTGGCACTTGTGAACACTGATGGCCTTCATCCAGAATATAGAAATAAAGACTGTGGGAAGATTTATAAGTTTGGTGATGCACATAAAATAAAGGCAGGGACAAAAGGTACACAGAACACATTTCTCAGCTGTAGAAAAGCCCATAAGAGCTTGGTAATATTAATAGATAAAACTTTCCTCCAGGAGACTGGATCTTTCTTAGTTCTTCTTTATATGGGCATGGTGGGACAGATTAGCTACTGTGGTCAAAATTCACATGCAGCAGGAGAAGAAGTTCTCTACCACCTGCCAGCTCCCAGGTAGATCAGGCCAATGCAAGGATGGTCTGAGGGCAGGAGGAGGGCAGTGTAGGCATCCACACATAGTCACAGCCCTTTCTCAGTCTGGAAAACAGAGATACTGAGATGTCCAAGGACAAAAGAGGGTATTCACAGAGCTCTTTATGGAGTTGGTTTTGGCTCATACTTGCTTATAGCCCTTTCTGAAGAGCTTACCCTGCACCTGCAGCCACAACAACAGAGCACTGCTGACGTGACAGGCAGAATTTTCTTGTCCTTTTCCAAAGACTCATTCGGTATGAAAGCTTGAGGGATGGAGAAACATCTGCCTGCCTTGCAGAAACTTTTAAAGTCTGGAATCTCCAGTGATAAATAAGTTAAATTTAAATCCGGTTAATACTGTTAAGAGAAACCAGTGCTGTCTTAGGATAGCACCTACAACTTGCAGGATGAATATTTGTATTTCTTCCATGGCAGCAACCAAACCATAGCTTACTTATGAATAGTTTTCGATATATTGTGGGCTGCAAATACACCAGGATTGCCTTGTACCACAGATGGTACCGTGTGTGCTGCCAGTTGTGCCTGTGAGAAATGGGGGCCTGGGCAGCCAAACTCATCTCATGCCACATCACATTCTGTCTGTTTTGTGGTTTCCCAAGCTGCTGCTGACCTTCACGTCCATGTGCTTGGTGTGATTTCTTCCCTGACATGCCCCCAGCATCCTCCCTGAGCAGTGGCCACAGCATGGTTCAGCATGAAGCATTTTGCAATGGCTGTCCATTCTGTTCCGGGGGGCTGGGATGTGGATTCCCAGACTCAGACCAGCAGCAGAATAGGTGGGGTGAGGCTTTGTTTTCCTGAATGATTTAGGGGTGTAAGAGTCTCTTTTAGAGATGACAGCCTAGCATCTGTCTTCTTTGGAGCACATGGTCTATCTGGACTTCAGTAAAGTCTTTGATACTGTTTTTTGTTATGTTCTTCAGAATCTGGATTCCCATAGTGTGGATGGGTGCACTGTTCACAGGGCCAAAACTTGGCTGGATGGCCAGGTCTGGAGTATCCCCCAGGGCTGAGTACTGGGGACAGGACCCATTATTTGGGCCAGGCCTCTTAATTATCTTTATTAAAGAGATCTTTATCAAGGGATCAAGGGCAGCAAAGGTGACTTTGTGGATGACACAAAGTTGGTTGGGAGTATTGATCTTCTGGAAGGTAGGAGAGCTCTACAGAGGGATCTGGACAGGCTGGAGTGATGGGTCCAGGACAGTGGTGTGAGGTTCAGTAAGGCCAAATGCTGGGTCCTGCACTTGGGTCACAAAACCCCATGCAATGAACCCCACCAACACTCCTAGATGATTGGCTGGAAAAGTGCCCACTGGAAAAGGAGCTGGGATCCTGGTTAACAACAGCTGAACATAAGCCAGCAGTGAGCCCAGATGGCCAAGAAGGTCAATGGTATCCTAGCTTGTATCCTCAACAGTGTGACCAGCAGGACCAGGGAAGAGATTGTCCCCCTGTACTCGGCATTGGTCAGGCCACACCTCAAGGGCTGTGTCCAATTCTGAGCC